GAGACGCGATCCAGCAAGAAGTCCTTGAGGTGTCTGGGGAGAGTCCTGGTCCTACTCGAGCGTCGCAGAGTCATCATGAACAACTTCCCAAACTGATGATAGTCAGCCAACAGGAAAATAGTTCAGAGTTGATTGATGACTTTATAGACAGTTGTGTGGGTTTGTAAACCAATTCAGGTTGCCGTGGTGACAGAATGACGAGTTTTAGTTAAATGTAAACAATAATTGATTACAGCGTTAAGTCATTTACAGCAGCACGAACAGTATACAGTACATATTTTTGGTAAATGTTATTTAAAACAGAAAATATCTTATTAATTATTAAGTATAATAACAGAGGGCCAATATAGCCTACCTAAACAAATATTGTCCCCATTTTCCGTTTATTTCCACGTCAGAAATCCGGGGCCTGTTTCAGTAAGGAGGTTCAAACAACTCAGAGTTCAAACTTGAACTCTGAGTTGATTTACCGAGAGATTAAAAACTCTGAGTTTTCGGTTTCAGAACAGCTGATCTGAGTTGGGTCAATCAACTTCGAGTAGACCAACTCAGAGTTAAGCGCGCACACCGTGACTTTAAAAAGGCATTATCAATGGAGCGCAGACATTACGAGTGACTATGGCAATATGTTATAAAAGAGATCACCATTTCTTTCTCCAGCTGAACTTGATGTTCTCATGCAAAGTTATAGCAAATATGAGTGTATATATTTGAAAAGAAGCAACCATCAGTGAAGAGGAGACAGTTAGCGTGGGAAAACAGCTGCTCAAGATAATGCCTAATTTCACTTTTTAAGTATTTAAATATTTAAGTATAATAAAATAAGTAATGTAATTTGTGACGTTTATATTTTTTTCTAAACTTTTTTTTATACATTTATTAGTTTTAAATGATTTAACAGTGCACTTGTGTCTGCCTTTTTTATTGATCAAGTGATAGAGGTTAATATAACATTTAGAAGGTAAGCAGTACTAAAAATAATTTTTAGAAAGAATAATAATCCCATTAATCTAGTTACAGTGCATGTCGAAGATGAATTTAATTTAATTATTTATTAAAAAAGGATAAGCCATTCTAGTACAGTTCTTCTGTCTGTGACAAAAATGCAGGCAATAGCTATTTTCCATCCAAATATATTACATAAATTTATGTGCAAAACTGGAATATTGCATAAAAGATGCGAATAAAATTCCATCCAACGAGTCAAAGAGAAAAAAATGGTCACTTCCTGATTAAACTGGCACCAAATATCAACAGTAAAAACAGAATTTACTGTGGTAGAAGAAGCTTCGTCAAATAATTCTTTATTTAGCCTAATTAATGTACTTGCGCCTCGATGTCAGAAGACAATGCTGAAACACAATGAACACGTGGGGGCGTCTGAAGCCATGAGACGCGGAGACTCTTGACACGCACCAGACGTTCGGAGGTAATTAATAATATACACTAATACTGAAACAGTTAAGGCATTTTAGAATGACTAACACAATATTTAAGACATGCTGCAGTGTGCTCAGCCTGCTGTTTGTCCATTCACACACATTTTCATTATCATGATCATGATCTTTTTTTTAATGTACATACTGTAATTTGTTCAGTAAAAGTGTTTCCATCGTAGTTTATGCGCACATTTTCTATCGAATAAAAGTTTATCCTACTCAGTTATGCGCATTTTTTATACATATTTTAAAAAGTTATGTGCATCATGACGTTTCTATCAATCGTTTTTATGCACGTATCCAAAATGAGCATTAAAATAGGTGTGTGGAAACGTGAGGCTAAGGCGAGAAATACCGCTTCATCTTTAAAAAAGGGGAGGAGACAGACAGAAACTCTGAGTTTAGAGAATAAAACCTGCTTCTGACCAGGTTAGATTCACAGAGTAAGTTACCACAGTAACTGACTCTGAGTTAAAGTTACCTCTCTTTCAGAAACAGGCTTGACTTACCCTGCTTTCTCGAGTTTAACAAACCTGCCATTTTGAAACGGAAAACCCAGAGTTTCTCTCATTTCAGGGTTAAAATACTCTGAGTTTTCAGTTAACCTCCTTTCTGAAACAGGCCCCCGGTCACGTTACTACGACAAAAGTACATTCATTGAACAGTAAAATGTTACTGATTTCGATCTATATGACATTGAGTTTATATTTAAAATTTAAAACTCATTCATTTCCCAATCATTCTGTAAAAATCCAGTATATGCAAAAGCAATGGAACAGAAACAAGAGTGTTAATATTTACACCCGCAGCTTGATTACGAGTCGGCTTATTTTAATAAAAAAAATAAGTTAATACTGAAACTTAGAACTTGTAAAATATTTTACATAGACTGTTGATAACAAAAGTCAAAACGAATTAGCCTTATATGTTTTCTTCCTAAATGAACCGATGGCGAAAGCTTAGGCAGTGTACGAAAATGATTTTGTAAAGAGAGCATAATAAAATGGCAGCATAATATTTTAAATACTGCATCCCAAAATGAAAATATTCATCCTCTTTAGTGTCACGTGATCGTTTGGATTATAATATGGATTAACTGTTCTATTATGATCAGTTTTATTGGTACAAAATCACTAATGATTCTTATAATTGTTAGCGCTGAAAAGTTTATCTTTCTTTATATTACAGTGGAAACTGTAATTTAACTTTTAGGATTTTTAAATTAAAAAGATCTAAAAAAAAAAAATAGCTTTTATTTCTCATGTTTAATGTTTTTAAAGAGTCTTATTTATTAATTCAGTTACCTTAAGTTCTGTAAACGAAATTCCTGCTCCCTCCTCAGTGCACCGTGAGAGGGAGCTGTCACCCGAGCTTTAGTCGGGGTCATTTGAACTTCATCCCCCACATGCCTGGGACTCACTGAAACACTTTTTAAAAATTATATCTATTGTTTGTAACATATCTTAGTGCTATGTACTGTAGGTTTACTGTATGTATTACTATATTATCTGAAAGTGCTACCACAGCCAATAACAGTAACAATAACAGTTTAACAATTGTAAAGAAGTTCTATAATAATTACAGATAAGATCTTTGTAAATCAAAATATCAATTAATCTGCATAGAATTTACAATATGAGCTCTCATATTAAGTAAAAAATAATTTGCTTGTGACTTTATTTTTCCCCAGATGACCACCCTTTTTCATGGTGCCATTTACTGTGATTTGGCTCCCTGATCCTCAAAGCAGGCATCATACTTGGGTTGCCATGATCGCCATACTGCTATGATGACACCACGAGGTTACAGGTGCAGACACATTGCAGACTTTAAATTGAAAGTATAATCTACACAATAAATGCAGTTAGCTTATCATCTGGTATCATTATCTAACTATGAAATCTGTTGAGTGATTCATGTGGATTTTATAGTATTACACAGATCGCCATCAGTGGATAACCATTGAATTTTCAAAATCGCATGAATGTAACAAAGCCTTGCTTAATGAAATTAAGAATTCAATACAATAAATTTGTTTTCAAAGCTTCATAAAGCACTGCTTCGAAAACAGCCACCACTAGACCACTTCCTGCTATTGATTTTGGCTTTAGAATTGCCCCTTTGTTTTGCTAGTTAGTGTCATGTTCACCAGCGAACAACCACTAGATGTCGCTGGTAAACATTCACACACAAACATTCACACTCATTGAACTACATATCTGCCATATATGGACTACAACACCCAGTCATGCCACACACACACAACCGGTTCCAGATCCACACTGATTGCACTCTCACAGCTGAAGCCACTCACACAATAATTATTTGGACTATTTAAACCCCTCTTTTCCACACACGTTGCCGAGTCTTGTTTATCTGTAAGGTGACATTACAACGCGTTATCCTGGTCTTGGGTTCCTGTGTTTTGATCTTAGCCTTGTTTATCCAGTTCTCCTGTTTAGCTGCCTGCCTTCTGACCTCTCGCCTGTGTTTGACTACGATTCTGGACTGCCTGTATAGATCTGTTTGCACCTGTGTTGAACATCGCTTGCCTGACTTTGAATAAACCTGCATTTGGATCCTACCTTCTGTTGTCAGTGTCACTCCCTGCTTTACAGTTAGATGACCTGGTACATTCAATTCAATTCAAGTTTATTCCAGCCGTGACTGTTACTATGAGTTTTTTTTTTCTGCTGTTGAGCATAAGACAAGATATCTTAAAGTATAAAAAAGAAAAACAGCCATTGACATTTAAAACAAAAGGTCCCAGGTAGCAAAGAATTCCCAACAGAGTCTGGCTCAGATTTGGCATAAATCTGGTACAGCAGGCATTCATCCGGCACTGGCATGCAGCATGTGGGCCAAACACGGCCCTGGTTTGGCAGAGGTGGCACACACAGGCATCACATGTAAGTTTGGCTTATATTGACCCACACTTAAAATGCATTTTTATTATTTAAAATAAAACCTACCAGTCAGGTCACTTTAAGAAAAGCACACCTTTAGCCTAAAGTGCAATGATTCATGTGTATATCAATTTTTGACACACCAACATATCTGGCCCAGTTCAGGCTCAATTATTATGGGAATTAACTTGGCTGAGACTTGGCCTACATATGGTCCATGTTAAGCTCTTGTATGGGAGCCAGACTTGGTCCAGTCATGTACCCTACTTAACTGCGGCATGTGAGGCAATCAAAAGCTGATTGTGTGGGCAAGAGCTGGGCCAGAGATATTTTGCTATGTGGTATATTATAGTAAATACTTTAGAATAGATACATGGGGCAGTCTCCTCCTCGCTCTGAGTAAGAGGCGTGTCGATATCACCTGCTGATCTCTGATTGGCTGAAGCCCAGTGGTCCATACCTGCTGAAGTGTGGATGATCAACAAAGCTGGATACCCTTACACACGCTTGAATCGGAGCCTCAGAGGAGAAGAGTATCTATGGTTATGAGGATTATTAGTAATAATAACAATGGCAGCAGCACTGAGTAATAACTGAACATGAGCTCATAAACACTGACTGGAGGACATCTACACAGGAGAAACCGCGCGAAATGATGACACACTCTAATGATGATGATGATGATGATGATAGTCACCAGCTCAGGTAAGATTCTGTGTGTGTGTGTTTGTGTCTCTCTTTGTGTATGTATGTGCGTGTCTCTCTCTCTCTCTCTCTCTCTCTCTCTCTCTCTCTCTCTCTCTCTCTCTCTCACTCTCTCTCAATTCAATTCAATTGCTTTATTGTCATGACAAATGTTACAAATTTACTGCCAAAGCAGTTATAAAGTTTACACAAAATTAAAAGAACATACATATTTAATAAAAACACAGTAAACAGTACTAATAAAAAAAGAGGATATGGGCATATAATAATAAATTAAAATATAAATAATCTATCATATTATTCAATATATCATTCATATAATAATATTCATTTATAACAATAAAAATAATAATAAATCTGAATAAACTACGTTTCACAATCAACATTTTAGGAAAAAAACAACAGCAACAGCAATAATAAACAGTTTATTTACAATGATTCATTTATAATCATCTAGTTGTGTGTGTGTGTGTGTGCGCAGTGTGGGCAGATGCGTCTCTCTCTGGGTTGCCAGTTCTGTATGTATCGGCCCATCTCTCCGCAGTCAGACTGTGAGCACTCAGCCTGTATTTGGTCATTGTTGTTCTTAATTTACTGTCCTTTACTGTACTCAGATATGTTGCTGTACTATAATCTCTATTTGGGCCTAAATAACAGTGAAGTTTACTTTGTTTTCCAGCTGCTTCATTCCAGTAAATCAGATACTCTTCTTTTCATGCATTTATCATTTCATTGGGCTTAATTCTGTAGATAAGCATGTCCGTGTCCTGATGCTGCCTGCTGTTAGTCATATTCATTGTGTTGGTTTGTGTTTGCAGCTTCAGGACCATCTGAATCAGGGGGCTTTTGTCAGTGTCTATTTCTTGGGTTTTATGGGCTTTAAAATGATAAGAGTTGGGGTCACTCATTTTATTGTGTTTCCAAAATTTGACAATACTCAATGCACATGAGTAGAGGATAGTGGCCTAATTCTGCCCTGCATGCATTGCTGGGTGTGTTCCTCTGTACCCTGATGATGCTTCTACAGAAATCTGCATGTAGGCTTTCAATTGGATTTTTATCTTTTTTATTTTTATCACCTATCAAATTCATAGCTGAGGAGAGGACTCCACACTTTACTCCCATATAGCACTTTAGGTTTAATCACAGACTGGAAAAATTTGAGCCAGACTCCAATTGGAATTTCTATTTGTGTTGCTTTTTTTAATGGCGTTAAAGGCCCTTCTCGCTTTCTCTTTCAGTTCATTCACAGCCAGATTTAGTTTTCCATTAGCACTTATTTTCAATCCAAGGTATGTATAGCTTGTGGCAGGTTCGATTTTTGTCATACAAAGGGAGAAGCTGTGTTTCTTTCCCTGACATCTGGGTTTTTTTCTGGAATACTAGAGTTTTGGTTTTCTTTGGGTTAACAGTCATGGCCCAGGTCTGACAGAAACTCTGCAGGATATCCAGCTGCTGCTTTAGACCCTCTTCTGTTGGCGAAAGCAGCACCAGATCATCTGTAAACAGCAGGAACTTTACACTGGAGTCATATAGTGTGAGACCCGGCGTATCTACTTGCTCTAGGAGCATTGCCAATTGATTGATATAAATATTGAAGAGGGTTGGTGACAGTGGACAGCCCTGTCTCACACACTGCCCCTGAGTGAAGAATTCTGTTCGCTTATTTCCTATTTTAATTGCACACTGATTGTTCGAATACAATGTTTTTATAATGTTGTATGTTTACCGCCAATACCTGATTCTAAAAGTTTATCAAGGATGTACCGCTGGATCGCGTCTCACTACAGTTGTTAAACACACAAGCTGATACTTTCCAGTGTGTGGTACATTCCGGCTGGTCACTCCCGGTGTGTGGTACATTTCCTTTCCGTAATGAATCTGTAATTGTACATTTGTTTCGGGACTTGTAAAAGTGTTTAGCGTCTTGTTATTTTTTTTCTAAAATGTACATTTGTTTTTGTCCTTGGTAATTTTGTTTTTCCTATGTAATTGTGTCTGATTGGTAAAAATGTTTTTCAAAATATAAATTTGTCTCGAGCTTTGTAAAAGTGTTTCACACTTTGTAATGTTGTTTTCAACTTCCCGGCCACCGTAGTATGCAGTATGTATGGAGTGTATCATGTGAGTGTTTGTGTGTGTGCGTGTGCATGTTTGTATGTGTGTGTGTGTGTGTAAATGTATAGAGTGTATCGTGTGTTTGTGTATGTATGGAGTGGATTGTGTGTGTGTATAGAGTATTGTGTGTATATGTATAGAGTGTATTGTGTGTGTGTGTGTGTGTGTGTGTGTGTGTGTATGTATGTATGGAGTGTGTCGTGTTTGTGTATGTTTGAAGTGTATTGTGTGTGTATATGTATGTAGTGTTTCATGTGTGTTTGTATAGAGTCTAATGTGTGTCTATATGTTTGAGTGTATCCTGTGTATCGGAGTGTATTGTGTATATGTATAGATTGTGTTGTGTGTTTATATGTATGTAGTAGGGTTGGGCATCTAAGCTATAATGCCGATCCGATACGCATCTCGATACAAAGAATACGATCCGATATATTAGCGATACATTTGTGACATATTGCGATGCAACACGATACGATTCACACCCATATCACGATACAATGCGATAATTCAGCACTAACTAATTAAATCAAGTTTATGAGATTATGTGAAAGAGGATGCTGTGCCATTGAATGAGTTTGATTATTTATTAACCAAGCAAAACCAAGACTTTTTTTTACAAACTGGCTTTTCTCTCAGAGCCAGAGTGTCAGTTTACAGTAGAGGGCCATTTTAGAACCTATAGCACATATTATTTAAGTATTTTCAAGATACTAATATGTATTAAAATATATATATTTGCACTCTTTCAACATAAAGGTTGAGCATTGCACAACAAGAATTGTGATTTAACTTTTCAACTATGAAAACAAGTTTTACAAAGATATATTTTGCCACTGATTATTCAAAACTTAAGGTCGTGGACTAGCAGTGTTATGCTGCTTTGAAACATCACTGTCACTGTAAACAACAGGCTAATAAAAATATAACAAACCAGCAATCTTCTTGCTGTGAGGTGGTCAAACTACCCACTGTGCCACCGTGACACCCATTATTTTTTTAATTATCATTATTAATAATATTATTATTATTATAATTACATAAAAATTAACAGGAGGAGGTGTTTAAACTCGCCTAGTGCGGCAGTATAGAGAGGGCGGCGTCCGCAACACCCAGTTATATCCGCGCATAGGGTGGCAGAATAGAGGTACGCGACACCCGCGCGTCCTCAGTTATATCCGCGCATAGGGCGGAAGAATAGAGGTCCGCGAACCCCCGCGCGTCCTCAGTTATATCCGCGCATAGGGCGGAAGAATAGAGGTCCGCGACACCCGCGCGTCCTCAGTTATATCCGCGCATAGGGCGGCAGAATAGAGGTCCGCGACACCCGCGCGTCCTCAGTTATATCCGCGCATAGGGCGGCAGAATAGAGGTCCGCGACCCCCGCGCGTCCTCAGTTATATCCGCGCATAGGGCGGCAGAATAGAGGTCCGCGACCCCCGCGCGTCCTCAGTTATATCCGCGCATAGGGCGGCAGAATAGAGGTCCGCGACCCCCGCGCGTCCTCAGTTATATCTGCGCATAGGGCGGCAGAATAGAGGTCCGCGACACGTCACTTCATTTTCATAACCGGTCACTTTCGTTTTCACATTGTGTACCTGATACACTGAGTTGTAGTGTAAGTGTACACATCCGCAAATCCGTTGCTAAGGCTTACTTTATGTAGGTCGATTAAATTATGCGCCAAAAACAGGTTGACAACACTTGTTAATAAATAAAAATTACATTCTATATTAAAAATATAAGCTGTACCTCGGAAAAACCGATGCATCTCGCAAAAACCGATGCATCTCGATTTGCTTCCAAAATTTCATTCGTCCTCTGCTGCTCAACCGATGCACTCGCATCGTGCACGCGCATGACCGCGTATCGATACATATCGGTTAATCTTCCCATCCCTATATGTAGTGTTTTATGTGTGTATCTGTATGGAGTATATGTAGATTGTATTGTGTGTGTTTATATATATGGAGTGTATTGTCTGTATGCATATGTATAGAGTGTATTGTATGTGTATGTATGGACTGTATCCTTGTGTGTGTATGTATGTATGTATGTACGGAGTGTATATATATATATATATATATATATGAAATGTGTTGTTTATGTATATGTAAAGAGTGTATTGTGTGTGTGTGTGTGTGTGTGTGTGTGTGTGTGTGTGTGTGTGTGTGTGTGTATGTGTGTGTGTGTGTGTGTGTATGGACTGTATCATGTATGTTTAAGCATAAGCATATGTGTAACATGCATTCTCCTGTGGCCCAGTGGTTTAGCTTCCAGATTCTGACACTGGAGAACTGAGTTCAATACCATTCTCTGACAGCAATGTGTGTACATGTTTGTAGTGTATCATGTATGTGTGTCGTTTATGTATTTGCAAAGAGTGTGTTGTGTATTTGTATGGACTCTATCATGTGTGTGTATATGTACAGAGTCTATATATAAGAAATATATGTATAGAGTATGTGTGTGTATGTATGGACTGTATCAGGTATGTATATAAACGGAATGTATCATGTGTGCGTTTGCTTAAAGTGTGTTCACCTGTGACACGTATGGACTGTGTGTGTGTGTATAGAAATAAAGTATGTGTATGTATGGACCGTATCATGTACGGACTGTATCATGTGTGCATTTACTTTATTTGTATTCTCCTGTGGCCTAGTGGTTAAGCATCCAGACTCTGACACTAGAGACCTGGGTTCAATCCTCGTCTCTGACAGTAATGTGTGTATATGTTTGTAGTATATCATGTATATGTATTCTGTATGGAGTGTATCCTTTGTGTAGTTGCATAGAGTGTATTGTGTTTATGTATCGATTGTGTTGTGTTTTTATATGTATGTAGTGTTCCATGTGTGTATGTATATTGTGTGTTTATATAT